GTGCACAAATACCTGATTATACAACATATACAACCTACCTATTTTCACAGGAAATGTAGCCTTCCGCAATTTGTAACATTCGTCTTGTTATTGATTCAGGAAATAAATATCTGCTCTATTTATTCTCGTGCAAGAGCCGACATAAAAACAACTGGCATTCTGTCATTTTCCATTTTTACTGATCTACAGATTACATCTGTGTTAGCATTTCGAGAATCAAACTCCTTCACTTCAAATTTTCTTTAGAAATTTCAAAGTTGTGCACCCAATATTTTCACCTTTCAGTTCAGTTCAGTTAGTTTATTAATTTCTTTAAAAAACAACGTAAATTCATCATTCAACAAAAATACAAATCATAAATTAAATGAATGGTAGATGAAGAAAAAATCTTTTATCTGCCCCTTTTTCCTCAAATAAATAAATTCAATCAAAAATAATCAATTAATTTTACCAGCTGTATTAAATACTGACTGAAAAAAATGTGTATTTCTCCTACATGAAACATAACAGTGTAGGGGTTTTGTATACATTCTAAAATGAATAATTTGTGATTTATTTAAATACACAAATTATCTTACCTCGAGGCACCACGCTCTTAATTTGATCAAGGATTAACCCAGGAAAGATAAAAAAACCTGTAACTTTATTGTAATCAGTTTCACAATAAATGTACCCAAAATGATTTGATGAGTTCTTGTCTTATCAGAACCAATAATACTTTATCAAGACACAAAAATGAGATTAGCATATGTTGGCACATTCTCCACGGGCCATTTATTTACAGATAAAATGTATTTACAACTATGGTGAGTAATGGGTGATGTCATGTTGAACCAGTAAAAATTGAAAGAGTTTGCAATCACGAATGAATAATGACAAAAACAAACAAACAAATAAACAAACAACAAATAAATATAAATTAAACACTGAGAGGTGAGTTTGAGGCTTGGAGTGAGGTGAGGTGAGTTTGCTTTTAGCTGAGGATTTAACTAAGGGGGTCCTGGTTAAATTAGGGAGGAAAATCGTTTAGTTTACCAAATCTCATACAAAGATAAGAATCAAATTACATCTGAGCACCTGTTTGTCACCAGGACAAATGTTCACGTTTACCCTTTTGTTCTGCTGATGGCGGTATCAGAAGTATGCGTCGGCTGACCGAAGGATCTTAGGTGACGTTCCCCAAAGAACTGCTTCAGTGTGGTGGCCGGTCAGACACTCAGGATGTCTGTTCATCTGCTGGTCCTTCAGTCAGAAAGGTGGGTGGTGAGCTGATGACAGAGGGGTCCGGTCCGATCCTTCCCAGACGGCTGCAAGACTTCTTAATTTGATGTCAACTTTGTAGAGAAAATGAGCTAAAACGATGCATGAGTCACAGTTAGCTTGTTTAACTTATATAAAATGAAACTCAGATTTTGAGTCGATATTAAACGGTAGCTGTTCGTTCAACCAGCGGGAGATGCAGAATGACACCATCCTGCCCAGCCCATGGGGAGGGGCTGGCAGGAAGGGCCTCTGCTGAGCTTCTGGAAAGCTGTTTCTCGCTTCTTTGTCTTCTCGTCTTCCTTGTCTTCTCTTTCTTCTTAGAGATTGGGAGTGCACTAAGCTTTTTAAAACCTCTGTCATGGGCGGAGTCAAGGTTTTAAGTTGGCCAATAAAAATGTTACACCTTATACAAGAAAAGTTTTTAAGAAATCAAATCTGTTTTGGAGGGAAAACTTTACTTCAGGACAAAGAAAAAGGGAGTGTTTTAGTTTAATTGTATCTAATTAAAGGGAGGGACATCTGCTTGCCTCAGTAAAATAAGAGTGTCACACTTAATTAAAACTCAAGTCCAAAGGTTTCTAAGGATTAAATCATGGAATGAAACACACACTATTTAAAATCATGAAATAAAAGAAACATCTTCAGGAAAACATTTCATCAAAACAATTACACAATACACAGTTAAAAAAAAAGAGAACACAGTGGAGCTTCAATGGGTTTTGTTCTTTCTGTAAAAGAAACAGGTAAATCACATTTCTTTGATTAAGATATTTGAAAACAGACAGTTGTATAAAAACATTCAATCTTGTTCTCTTTTTTTCACATTTAATGAAGAATGTAGGTTCCTTTGTCTCAGTCACTGAAGAGTCTGGTTAAAGGCGTTTATGACCCTTTGAAGAGGAGCGAACAGACAGTCCTTATGGTCACTGCAACTTGCGGGGTTCAGGAATGTGGCAATTCTTATCTATTAACATTAAGGCGTCAGGAAGTCTGGTGGGGGTTGGTGTAAAAGATGTTAATTCGAGCCACAAAGGAAGTTCCATGCAAAATCCTTAAATATAGTCTGAAGTAAAAGAGTGGGTTTTTTTCTTCCTTTCTCTGAGCAGTCATAGGAACAAGTGAAATCTAATCAGAAATGATTATTTAGATGCAGGAAAATGCTACAACAGAAATTTAATAGGTTGCTGAATGAAGAAAAGTGATTAAAATAATAAAAT